CCAAGAAGTGGTGTATACATCGTCACTTCACTTGGAGGCTTACCCAATCTGAAAGGGGACATAAATCACGCTTGTAATGCCATATATCAGCTTGAACCAGGTTTCCCGGTTCGCCTTTGCAGACTGTTCTCTGACTGACTCAAAAATGCAGAACATTCAGTTGGAAGCCAATGCTCCCAACAATGGCAGTTGTGAAGTAGACAAACTTCTGCAGGACACCCAGGGTGACGCGGGTATCCCACATGAAGAAACCGGACTCACTAAGGCTCAGGAACAAGGACAAGTTCATATACCCCTGCTCTACCTCGGTGTCGTCGTCATCCTTAGCTGTTTAGAGCCGATGCCGTCCAGCAACGAATACTAAATCTGGTGCCGGCAGGTGCTGGGCCAAGTGGGCTCAGTGGCTTTCTGCTGCTAGGCAGCGAGCATGCTGACCAAAGATGGAAGCCGCGTGCAGTGGGCCGTCGCAGATGCTGCGACATACCTCGGTGAGGTGCGGGTTCCGTCCATCACGTGTCTTACTGACTCTCTGCCCAAGCATGCAAGCAACCATATAGTAGTACCCTATAATTATAGTACCCTGGTACCCTATAATTTACAATGTAACCCTATACGTAAGACTACCCTGTAATAATAACAATAGTAAATACAAACATCTGAAGCTGGGCCCAAGAGGCAGCGAACATAGCAGGCTCCCTGCGACCACCAGATTCGGCAACACAATAAACGCTGGACCCTGACCGGGGGGGAGAAAGTTTGCAAAGCTCTCATGACGGAGCAACTGGCTTAAGTTAGCTTCATGAACTTCAATACTGAGTACTGGGGGAGTGGCCTGAAGCTAGAGGGACTGGCATGCTCTTGTCTTTCCACGACCCGTAACTCATCCAAAGAGTGGAACAAATACTGTGAGACACACACACACACACGGAGACACAACTGTTCACGAAGAGACCTGGCCAAGAAGAGAATCTCCTCTACTTGTCTCTCGTTCGTGTCCCAGGTGGAACAAAGACGAGCTGAGCAAGCAAAGGAGGCCTTCTCCCTGTGAGCCCAAGCCTTGTGGCACTTCTCAGGAAGCCCTGAAACCCCCAAACTTCCTAACCCTAGACCCCTAAACCCTTAAAACCCAAACCCCAAACACCCTGAAAACCCTAAACCTTTAAGGGCCGACCCCGGGCCCAAGGCCTCTCCCGCGAGCTATTGGAGTCATTGGGGAGCTAGCAGTTGGGCTTTAGGGGTTTACGCTCTCACAACTCGGACATGCCAGGCGAGGTTCCATAGTAGCTTATAGGGTTTAGGGCTTAGGGTGTTGTGTTCCCTCCTACTTAGCAAGGACATGCCTAGGGTGTTAGGCTTTAGGGTTGTTTTAGGGTTACTCTATTTTTCGTGACTGAAACTGAAGTCCAGAGATTCGGTCTAATGTAGGAACCTGATCAAAAAAAACACTGGCCCAATAACACCCAAACTATAAGGGTTCATATTAAGAGCCCTAATTTTTGTGCCAAGGCCCAGGGTTTCTTGATCAGGTTCCTATATATATATATATATTACCTCGAAACCTGATCTCGAGTGCGCCTGGTGCATGTCGTACAGAGCAGCAAAGAATACGAGGACTGTGGTGAGTGCCAAAGCTGCAGAGGTGAGCTGGTACATGCGGGAAGCTTGGCGCATGCAACCTTCGCCGAGGCGTGCAATTTCAAGAAGCCCTGCCCAAGCCAAGTGTCCCTGCTTGCGCAGTTTTCGCTTTCAAAGTATTTCAGATTCTTCCATGGCTCTACTCCATCCTAATACCCTGGGAACAGGGAGGGTTGCAGTAGTGGCAGCTACCGTTAGCTGCAAACACGCGTCTGTCGAAGTTGCAGCTGCCACTCTGGACTCTAGCCACGATGGCGATTGCCAAGCCGGTGTGCATGATTCCTACTGCGTTGTGCAGCGGGATTCTGCCATGGGCCGTCAGGGGTTTAATCAGGGTGTATCCGCGGCTGACATATGGGCACCTGACTTGAATCCACGACTGAAGGGTGGGTCTAAGAGACGAGATCAAGCGCCATCGTCTAACGAGGGGGCGGATTTGAGACATGACATCAACGGCCATCGACTGGGCGGGCTTAAACTATGGACAGATAGGGGTTCAACTGCAATCAGCTAATGATGTGGGGGGAGACGGGATTTTGATATAAGATCGGCCGCACTCGCCTCATGCTGGGCCGGGTTGAAGATATGGGATCAACCACACTCGCC